TTTTCCCAATTTCAGTTTTTTAAACATCATCTCACATTGGTTAATGCATTTAAAAACATCGGTTTTGTTTAGGGGTGTCAATAAAACCCGTAGGGTCGGTTACCCGCGGGTTACCCGCATTTTTAGATCGGGTAAACCCGAGATGAATGGGTTTCGGGTCGGGTTAGGGTAGAAATATGCTACCCGAATCCCGGGTCGGGTCGGGTCGTGTGCGGTATAGTAGGCAAACTCATTACCCTACCCGTTTACCCGTAACCATTGAATCATGTATATATATATACATACATACATATATATATATATATATTTATAATTTATAATAAATATAAAAGTAGTCATGTGTTGTTTTTAAAAATTAGATTATCTATTATAATTTTGATTAATGGTTAAATTTATTTTATTTTTATAATTTTATTATCTTTTTTGTTAATTGTACAATAAAAAAATTACATATTTAATTTTAAATGTTATAATATTAAATAGACTATAAAAGATAAATAATCATTTTACATTATTTATTTCAAAAATAATAAATATTTTTTTCATAATTTTTTATTGTCAAACTTAATGAATAAATTATTTCTTACATTATAATTAGTTGTGAAATTATTTTATTTTATTTTCATATGAAACGAGATGGGTCGGTTAAAACCCAAATTTAAGACTCGGGTTACCCGTTTACCCGATGAAAACCTACTAACACGCCGGGTACAACCCTACCCGAACTCGAAGATCACTAGCCGGGTAACGGGTCGGGTTTGGGTATGGTAAATTATATTCGGGTCGAGTTCGGGTTTGCCAAAACCCGTACCCAACCCGACCCGTTTACATCTCTAGTTTTGCTATGAAGCCAACAGTTGACTTCATAGTAGAGTCAACCTTCTATATACAACAAATAAATCTACCATAATCTCTGATTACTTAAGTAACATTAACATAATTTTATTAATATGGTAGGTTTATTTGTTGTACGTTTATTTTGTTGTATATAAAAATTTGGCTCCACTATGGAGCCAACTGTTGACTTCACAACAAAATCATTAAAAACATACATTAGTGGGATCCATTTTCTAATATTTTAACATTCTTTCAATTTTTTAAAAGCTAATGCATTCCACCAACATAACATTGTTCCAATTTTTTTAAATGTCTTGCCAAGATAAAATGTTGTTCAATATACATTAAATGGCAAATGTGAGCCTCCACCATTTTTTTATTTAAATTACAATCCGACCGTTGGATTAAGATTTACTTCGAGAGAAATCTCGTTCTCCAAACTTTCAAATGACACCTCTCATCCGAAAATCTGATATCTTGATTATCAAAAAACTTGAATTTTTTTTCTATATACATGTGCTCCTACTATCTTCGTGGATCGATTATAGAGGTATCAATTTTCAAAATCGACAACCATACCTCATTTTGTTCATCTCCATGGGCTTTAAAAGCCCTAAATTATTTTAAATATTAATTAAAATTTCTTATTAATTGAATTAAAAAAAAAAATTGTGTCATATTAGCGTTTCCAATCGAGGAGGCAAATTGTCAGTTTCATTTACATTGAGATGCAATTTATAAAAAAAAATAAAAATGTATGACAATTTAAAAATTGCATACTTTGGGAGGTTAAAAAAAATTATCCCTATATTTATTAACAATAGTGTCACCTCATGAACGGTTTTCGTATTGACTTATAAAAATGAGATATATACTACTCTCATACCCTTCCGGATCGTGCCCCCATTAGTAATAAGTTAATGAAAAATCCAACAAGAATTAACATAAAAAGATATATTGACAATGTTCTAGATTCTTCTTTTGGAGTTAGGATTATATTTGGTAAAACTAATTGATAGCTTATGAGTGATTTTTTAGCTAATAACTTATAATTTATAACCAATGTCCTCAAAACCGGACCGGTCATCGAACCGGTGAAGCTAGTGATTCAATGGTTTCAATGGTCGGACCAGTGGTCGAACCGGTCCAACCAGTTTAACTAATATATAATTTATTTATTTATTTTATATGTATAATATATAATTATATATATATTTATCATTAATTTTATAGCATATAATAACATTTTTCTAAATAAGAGTTGAAAAATCAATATTTTAAGTATAGTTTACCATAAACAATACTAAATAAAGTTCACTAAAACAATATTTTAAGTATAGTTTACCGTAATCAATATT